GCCGAGCCGTCATGTTGAAATGCACTTCCATATCTTGAACAATTTTTACTAAAAGGGGCATTCGTCAATGTATTATGGGATTTAGGGGGGGGGGGGGGGGGGGTGCTTAGTAGTAAAACTGCTAAGTCCGGAAGCTTGTTACGAAGAGAGGCTAAGACACAAACATAATCAAAATTCATGCTTTGAATGCCGTTATCGCGTAAGATGTGGTATTGAAATACCCAAAATTGATTTAGATGCTTGTTGAATAGATGAGATGTTTGCTGAATCAATGAGAAGGGTTGTTTTTTATAGAAACACATTTAATGCTCAATGGTTAAGAAGTTATATTGTAGACGAACCATAAAAATGTATATAAAAAAACAAAAGCCTCTTTTATTTTCGTTTTTTTCTTGAACTTCAATATGCTTCAACAATTAGTAATCTTTATTTATCTTTGTTCTTTTGCTAAATTAAAGAATCATTAATTGACAATTTTATGCATACGTTATATAGGATACGGTAAGTTCAAATCGGTTATATTTTTAGAATGGATTTGATGTAAATAAGATCCCAATACGTTTCCAAACTAAGTCAACCATTTGACTAAGCCGTAAGTAACTATTCAACAATCAACACCCCATAAAGATCTGCAGCCTTCTCCGCTTCTAACTGAATCCCCAACATAGGCATCGTTTCTTTCAACGGATCATCAACCTCTCCGCCCAGCGAACCCATCGCCAAAATCAAATCCAGGTACAGAGACACAGACTCAGAGAGAGTGAGAAAGATACTTAAGGATATGTAAAGAAAGGAGGCGGTGGAGGGAGGGAAGTAAACGTTACACCTTGGGGAAGTAAGAGTTTATGCCTGGAGCCTGGAGGTATAAGGAAGTGATTGATCTAAGTTCGGATCGGAAATCAAGTCACTAATGGTGGCCAGAACAAGCCTAATTAGCCGTCGGACTGCGCAGAAGTTCCGGCAAGCAGCGATCTTGGCCGCTGGTTCAGTCAAGATCAAGTTGTTACTGTTTTGTTGCTTTCTCTTTACATTAACCTTGCTCGCAAGCCGAACGCCGTCGTTTTTGGGATGGGGACAACAGAGTGTGCCCCTTCTTGATCGGACTTCCAGGTTAATTAGTTACCTTAACAGTTTGATTTTTTTCTCTTTTTGGCAAAAAGGTATCTCTATATACACTATCGTACTTCAAAATTTGCATCCAAGATACGTCACATATATGATATAGGAGAGAATTCACACACCAACACTGTCAATTGATCCAAAAGAAGCAAGCATTACAGACGCACCGTACATATGAACATATGAACATTACAATCAAACAAAACAACCTAAAATTGCAATTTGAATCTTCCAGTAAAGCATTCAATTGAACTATCATTTGCGAGGGCCCACGAGAACATGGCTTAACTTATACTTATATATATGAATAATAAATGAATATCGATTCGTGATCTTCATTGATTGATATAGTATAAGCTGTGTTAAATTTGTCTTTTCCTATTTTCTGTGTTTCGTCTTCTCTTTCTGGTGAGTTGAATTACGAATTACTCCACTTTTACCATACGCAATGTAATTTGGCAGTTTTTGCAAATTCTTTTGCTTTTACTTTGAGCGTTCTTTTACTCCCGAAAGCAAATCTGCATTAGACATTCACGTATCATGAAACTTGTCGATAAAAGTAATTTATCTTTACTTGGAAATTGTCTAAGTCAAGTTATGGATGTAAAAATTCTAATGCTTGTTTGCTCTGGTTAGGTCTTGGATTTAAGAAATTAGTTTTGGATGTACACAAGTTCTTATTTGGGGGTAAAAAGATTATAAATTAAGTTCTTATCTAAAATGAGAGACTTGTATTATATACCATAGGAATTAGGAAGACATGCATGTTGGAAAATTATATCAAAACCACTCTTAAATGTGGTCCATATCTCGAATTTAGTAATTTATTTAAAGTTTTAAATCGAGGGACTTGTTTTTTTCACAGTAAAGGGTACACATTGCTGATAAATACATGGAAAAGATATGATCTTCTGAAGCAATCAATTTCTCATTATACATCGTGCCCTAGACTGGACTCAATCCACATAGTGTGGAGTGAGCCTGATCCTCCTTCAGATGCTCTTGTGAAATATCTGAATCAAGCAGTGAAGTCAAATGCTGGAAATAATCATCATATCGAGTTGGCTTTTGACATAAACAAAGAAGATAGCCTCAACAATAGATTTAAAGAAATCAAGAATCCAAGAACAGATGCTGTTTTTTCTATCGATGATGACATTATATTTTCTTGCAAATCAGTAGAGTTTGCTTTCAGTGTTTGGCAAAGTGCACCGGATACTATGGTGGGATTTGTACCTCGCATCCATTTGATTAATCGATCGGTATGTTTTTTTTTTTTTTAATTAAAAACGTTAAAGAATCTTTATTTGTTAAAAGAGAATAAAAATAATTTTTTTTCTTTACACAGAAAGAGAATGAAAATTCTTACATTTATGGTGGATGGTGGCCTGTATGGTGGACCGGCACATACAGTATGATACTCTCTAAGGCGTCATTTTTCCACATGAAGTACCTTCGTTTATACACTAACGAAATGCCTACATCCATCATGGAATATGTAAAGAGAAATAGGTACACACCCTTTCAAAATACTTGTAATTTTACTACTCATTTTTTTTAAAACAATTTGTTAAAAAATTACAATGATTCTAAACAGGAATTGTGAAGACATCGCAATGTCATTCCTGGTTGCCAATGCAACCGGCGCCCCTCCCATATGGGCAAAAGGTAATTTCATCGAAGAATACTGTGTCACATGTCCTGGACCAGACAAGCTTTCTAGGGCTATTTTGCACAGACGATATGATATATCAAAAGCAAGTCCCTATCCGTCCCACCTTTATGAATGGGACGAAAGAGTTGCAATTTTTGTCCTGTTGACATCAGTCTCACAGTCTAATGCATGTCAAACACAGTACAGACTGTCATGTCATATCATGTCATGTTCTACTGGCTTTAATTATATGTTTGGTGTACAAAAATTGTAGGCAAGATATACGAAATTGGATCGACGGGAATCAGTAGTCTAGGGGGTCATAGCGACAAAAGGACGGAGTGTGTGAATAGATTTGTATCCGAGTTTGGGAAGATGCCATTGGTACCAACTACCGTGAAGGCTGTTGATAGCCGTGGTACTTGGTTCTGGTGATGCCATTGATTCTCTTTTTTCTAGCTTCACACTTAGTTTGTTAAATTACCACTACATTAGCTATCTATCTCTTGTATTCTTAACCGATTTTTAACTTTATTAGCATCCAACAATTCAAACCACGTAAACCATATTTTGTTTATTGTATCAATACAACTCCGTATTTTGTTTCTATATTGCAATTTTTGTCGCACTGTCTTAGTCCAATGCATGTCAGATGCAGTACAAAACAGATTTCTGTCTGTCATTATTATGGTTTCGGTTTCTTTGGTTTCTTTTGTTGTTATTGTGGTTTGCGGGTTTACTTAGGTTTGTTGGATAGAAAAGAATCGCATTTAATATTTAGGCCACGAGTCCATGACCATGCCTCAACTAACATGGGATTTGAACTTATCTGTTGGGGACTTGTGTGGAGAAATGGGTCTTGATACTATCCAATTCCCATACTCTAATTATTTTGTATATCTTTGGTGTGTTTTTTTGACTTGCTCATGTGCAAATTGCTGTTGTTGCCATAAACATGCCTCATTTAAAGTTCCATTTCTTAGGGGGTTTGTTTTTTTTTGTATTTTATTTAAATACTTATTTCAAAAGGGTATTATTTAAAAGTAAAAGGGTGATAAGATCAAGCCAAGTTGTAGGCTGTCTTCATTCTTTTCACACCAGGACGAAGTAATGTTGGAAGAAAATTGGGTAAAGCATCAGACGTGTTGAAAATTTGTCTACTAAAAGCAAAACAAACTGGTTTGTGACATTGGTAGCAACATCTATCGACATTTTTAAATTTGCTTTTCTTTAATGCTAATGATAATTAACAAAGTTACTAGAAAATATCGGACATACTGATAAAAGTTTTTTTTATCTTACTGAGAAGCATTAAAGGATGTGATGATCAATCAAAGATTTTCATTGTCGGATCAGAAATTTCATTTTTTTTCATTAATAGAAAAATGGAAACAATTTGCTAAGTAAATAAAACACTACTTGCTCCCATTTTACGCTATTAAGGGAATTACTTTTGCTTTTTTTTTTTTTCTTCTTTTTTCCTGTGGCTACTAAAATGTTTTGGTATATGCTTCTTTTCAACCTCCTGAAATATTTCATTGCTTACTAAAAACTACGTATTGTAAGGTGAGCTTGTAGAGACAAGTATATTTTTAGCTGCATAACTGTTTATAAAATGACATATTTTCGCTGTATGTTCGTAAACTAAGCTCTTTCATTTTAACTTTGATTGCTTAAAACTTCGAAAAACGTTAAAAAAAATGATTAGATCAATTCTTAAAAAGTCAATAAATAAGAACGTTAGTTATCACATTATCTCCCTTTGGTTGGTATAAAATGGCAACTAATTAGCTTTTTGTTGAATGGATCTTTGACTCTTTGTATATCCAGCTCATTTCCATAGTATAATTTACTGCTTCCGTGTGCGAAACCGATTGAGTCTTATTCAATGTTACTTAAACAATTACTAAAACTGCAAAGAAATTAAGATTCATTAACGTACAAAATATATAATATTATGACCCCCTTTCATAATATAAATAGTTAAATTATCAATAAATAAATTAGAATTTTTTTATATATATTAAAATTTTGAATGGAACACATGATGACATGAATAAGTTTTGTATACAAACAACTTTGCCTTTGACCTTATCCTCCAATCAAAGTCCTACTGTAACTTTGACTTCCGTTTCTTTTTTTTCTTTTTTTTTTTCAAAATTCCGCCAACCTAATCCTGTCTGTGACACACCACAACCGAGTCACCACCGAGTCAACCCGCGTCTACCTACCGACCTCGGCCTTCATGGCTCCAGTAATCTCCCAAAAACGTCTTTGCTCCGTCCAAGCTCGGAAAATACGTCGGTTCCAAGAAGATCTGAGCCAATGAATCACTAGAATCCACCGTAACGAAAGCCAGACTACCTTTCGCCTCCACGCTTCCCATCGCCACCACCAACAACTGTTTATACGAGTAATAAAATTTCTTCACCGCCGCTTCGATCGCTTGTAACCCTTGTAGCAGATGAATCTTCACCGGGTTGTGCTTTTTCCGGTAGAGTTTCATTGCCGCCTCTTGAATCCTTGGTCCGCCCATAGGATCCACTTCTACGTCCAGAATGTACGGAACCTTATGTCTTAGATCCTTGGAACGTTTGGTGATCTCTATCAGCGATTTTGATCGGAAGCAAAACGATTCAGACTCGGTGGTTGTTTTGACGTCGAGCTGGTTCTTCAACCGGAGAAAATCGTCGGGATCCATTAGTAGATGAAGATCTTCAACCTCTGTTAATAGTTTCCATACCTGTTCCAGAATGTAACTATCGCTCGAAGCATTTTCGAAATCGTTTGAATCGATTTCTGATTCGATTCGATTCAAGAGCTGCTGAGCAACGTAGATCCACGATTCCAGGATCTGATGCGTCGTGAATACCGTTCGGTTCTCATAGTTGTTGACGTTAGCTTGATCCGGTGGCGTTTTGCTCAGAGCATGAAGCTCCGATGGCTTGCAAACGGCGTCGTAGTTTAGGCTTGGCTTGCCGTTGAGATTCGGCTCCCCTAACCCCAACGTGTATGGACACCGTCTCATCTGGCATTCAATCGAATACAGAATCTTCTGTGCTACGTCTTCCGATTTCTTCCACGTGTCAAGCCGAGGTAACAGGCTTTCCTCGCTTATCTGGCTGACTAAAACCGTCGCATCTTCGCCGTCGTTAAGCTTCCACACCTCCGCCGAGCTTCCCTCACGCGTCAATACGCCTCCGCTTCCGCCGATATTAACAATCGGCACCGTTTCGATCTTATCATCCTCGCAAAACAAAGAAATAACCTCGATCTGACTCGTCGCCAAAGACTCCAGTCTTCTTCTCCACTCCCGTTGATTAACGTAAGGTCTCGGATCAGACAACACAATCGACACAAACCGAAACGTGAACTCTAAAGCTTGCAACGCCGGTTTCAACACGGCCTCATTTTTCCACCCTGGAAACTCCACCGTGTTCCATAGCTCCTTTATTTGAGGAAGCCGTAGGTAATGCTCGTATGCAAAACAGTCAGTATCAGACGCCGGCGACAAATCCGGAACCCGGACTGGCGGTGGTGGAACCAAAGCGGTAAGTTTGTTAGACGACGAACGCCGTGGTGATCTGCTTGGCATACTATCTGATGATACCATCTTTGCTTTACAATCCAAATCAACCATCTTTCTCCAAATTGGAATACGAAATCACAGGTAACTTGTATATGTTTTTATTTTGTTGGAAGGAAATGAAAATTATTGTTTGTAATGAAAGTTAAAGTTGGATAACGTATTTATAAGGGGAGGGGGGTCTCTTTGGAGATATGATATGGGTCATGAGATGTTACAGTTAAACGCGTGTAGAAGCGAGGAACATGGAATTTGAAAGTCGCCATAGTTTGGAAAATATTATTATTTAAAGAAAAAAAAATGTCTTACTGTTAATTCTTTAGCATCAAATACATTTTCATTATTATCATATAAGAAAAACTAATTTAATGTTCAAAAAAATTATTTTGTTATTTTTTTAAATACTTTTGATTATTAAATTTATTATATTTTGTGATTTTGATTAACTTGGTGATTCACGACTACATAACCCAAGAAAAATGATTCGATAACTTAGAAGAATATAAAATAGTTTAAATTATAAAGCTTTTGTGAACAGTTATAATTTTAAAAGTTATTGGTATTATAGTTTTTGAAAAAAGAACAAATTTCTACAATATTATATATAGTTTTTAGAAATTAGTAATTACCTTTTTATCCATTTAGTTTCACACATTCTATTTTCTATCCAACCTATTTCTTGGGTTATTTGGTCGTAGAACATTAATTAAAGAAAAATATAATGTATAATGATTTTAATATACATAAAAGTAAATAAATAAGTTTATCCAACATTATAGGATAAAATGTTTTTGTATTATTGCTCTAAAATAAATTTATATCTTAAATCTTTCAACGATGAAAGAAATAGTTTTGGTATCATTCAATTTTATTAAAATATATAAACTATGTTAATTGTAACAATATTTTATGCTATCAAAATTATTAATGTAAAATGAAATATTGATGTATGTTTTAATAATTTTAAATATTGGACTCACTACTTTTAAATTTTTTGAGATTTTGCAATTAATTTTTTATGTAAATCAGTTTCAATATTTAGCAATTTATATATAAAATCAGGTTGATGTTGTGATGTAAATTGGATTGTATAACATTAGAGTTGACATGTTACTATTTATCAATATCAAAACTAAGAGTTTATATATTATGAATAAAACAAATAATGACCGCAAAAAATATTAACATAGAGCTTTTGGTTCGAATCGTCCTTATGTGAAACAAGAACATGTGAGAATTTATTCCATAAGAATTACATATATATACTCTAAAAGAATTTGAGGATTAAAAAAAAACGAGGCATTTAGTAAAGAAGATGGAGTTGAAACAGGTGGATGCATGGAGGAAGAAAACGAATACTTATCCATAAATGGATAATGTTACCTATCCTTGCTTGGAATGGGTCGGGTCACGTTTTCTTCCTTGGATCTAAGAAGCTTCCCAACTCGGAACATTCGTCATGGTTCATGCGTGGATAAAACGTTTTTTTTTTTTTCCCACCTTTTTTATTTTCAATTATTCATAGTTCCTACATTTTATTATTCACTGGGTTGACTTCTATATAGGATCGGTCCAATTTGATTTCAAACTCCAGATAAAATAAAAAAAAAATGACGCCCTCAACATTAAAATCTCTATATATTAAAAAGAGAAACCTTCAACAATCTGGTTCATTTATTGTGTTTTCGTGATTAATTTCAATCATTAGATCATTTTGATGATATCATCATAAAATAAAATAAAATTAATATTAAGAAAATAAGTTGATTCCGTTTGAAAAGCTTCTTAGAAATGTATTGAAATGAAATAAATGCCTGCATAATTGTCAAAACAAAAATATGGTTCATTCCTTTATAAAATCAAATAATTGTATAAACCTTTCATAATTATAGAATCTGAAATCAAAGAATTCAAAATAGTATGATATGAATCACAGTATTAGTTTCTTCATATCCTTTCCAAAATCGTTGTTCAAAATTGTGTATAAGTATAACCGTATTCAGTTATCAATATTTCGTGAAATCTGGACTTTGCAGGATCACGTTCGAATACCAGCTTCATAAGGTTAGCATTTTTTTTTAAATTTATTGATTAATTTTTTAATTTGATTATAGTTTATGTGTTCAGTATATGTATCAATGTCTTATTAGTGGGTTTTTGTTAAACGGATTTTCTACTCTCTCTCTCTCTCTCTCTCTCTCTCTATATATATATATATATATATATATATATATATATATATATATATATATATGTGTGTGTGTGTGTGTGTGTGTGTGTGTGTGTGTGTGTGTTTGGATTGGATGAAGTAAAATTCTGTTTAATTAATATTAACTAAATTAAGTTGACTCCGTTTGGGAAGTTGAAAACTTATTAATGGTTACTGAAAAATTTAATTGGAATGTATTGAACTGAAATAAATGTCAGCATAATTGTCAAAACTTAAATATGGTTCATTCCTTTTTAAAATCAAGTAACTTGTATATACATTTCATAATTAGAGAATTTGAAATCAAAGAATTCAAAATAGTATGATATGAATTACAATATTAATTTCTTCATATCCTTTCCAAAAAATTTGTTCAAAATTATGTATAACTATAATCTTATTTAGTTATTAGCACAATTTCGTAAAATCTAGACTTTGCAGCATCACGTTCGAATACCAACTTCATAAGGTTAGCAATCTTTTTATTCACTGATTAATTTTTTACATCTGATTATAGTTTATGTGTTTAGTATATGTATCTGTAACATCCATAAAATTTAAGTCAATTTAAAACTTTTTAAATCATTCAAAAAATCGATAATCATTACAAACATGTTTTCAAAATGGTTTAATGTCAAGGTATCCCAGAATCAAATCATAAAAACATAAGGAGGTGCACGATCAAGCCGTCGCCTTCTCGCGATCATCAGAAGTACCTGAAACAAAATCAACAACTAAGCCCGAAGCTTAATGTATTTCCCCAAAATACCAACACCATACAATCATAATCATATCATATAAACAACCAACATGTATAATGAGCCATCAGCCTGACTGGACCGCCTCGTAGGCCATCAGACTATCTGGACCGCTCTCCGAGCCTTCGGCACGTCTGGACCCCCTCTTAGGGCCTTCAGCCTATCCAGACCACTTGTCGGGCCTTCAACCTGACTAATATGCCCTCCTGGATCTGCAGTCTATCCGATCCGCATAGGGTATGTTGACCTTCAGTACAAAGCAGGTCCGCCTCAACTTAGCCCCAATCAAACAATCATGTGTACATAAATATCATACGCTAGCGTGTATATAACAGTCAAACTGATCTAACAAATCACTAATCATAACAACATCCTATAACCAGGATACTGACCTAACATGTCACTAACATAGCATTATCCTATATACCAGGATACCAACCTAACCGATCACTATCATAACATTATCCTATATACCAGAATACCGACCTAACTAGATCACTAAGCATACCAGCATCCTAACTACCAGGATGTAAATCAATAAGCATATCATGCAATAAACCTGGATACAAATCCAAAAAGGGCCGACGTTGGTGACTTCGAACCTGTTAATATAGTGAGGAAAACTCACTTCACAAGTAGCTCAAAAAGATAATGTCAAACTCCTCCTAATACAGCTCCAAATCCGACACCTACATCCACCAATGATCAACTTCCATAAACTCCCAAATTAGTAAAATACCCCCATAAGTCAAATTGGTCAACCCTTGGTCAAAGTCAAAGTTAACGGTCAAGGTCAACAGTCCATGTTGACCTAACTTGTAGAGTGCAGCTCACTGACTCGTCGAGTCCTTCCAAAACTGAGAAATAGTGAAAACCCGAGTCGACTCACCGAGTTTCCAGACAACTCGTCGAGTCTATCCGTGTCCAAATGTTGGGAAAACCCTAAATGACTCGTCGAGTCAACTCACTGACTCGCCGAGTCCATACAGAGAGTTGACCGTGCAACTCGTCGAGTCCTTTTAGTCCATTTCTTATTCATACGATTTTAAGCTACCCCAAAGCTCCAAATTGCAGATCTAACCTCCTAGGGTTTCCATGTAAAGTTGCAAACTTTATGTAGATGCATGGTCCTAAATGCCAAAAACCAAGCTAAGGGAAATGTTTAACCCAAAGAGAAGGGCTAAAGCTTGCTAAATTTGATAACTTTATGACTATAAGGACTTAGAGGAGTCCAGATCTAAAGTTACAACTTTAGATCATGCCCAATACCTGAAATAACCCCCAACAAACTAGAAAATGGCCTTAAACCTTTACATTAAGAGATCTAGCTAAATATAAGTCAACGTAACGACTTGTAACCTTCAAAACGATGCCAAGATGAAGTAGAGTCAGATCCACAAGCTTCTCTTTGCCCCAAGCTCCTTAGACTTCAAGCCTTCTTCACAAAATCCACATTCCAAGCTTCTTTACACACAAAAATGGAGAGTAGACGAGATTAGGTTTTTTCAGAGCTCAAGATGGGCGGTAAGGGAGGCTGAGGGAGGCTAATAATCCTTTAAATAGGGTACAAAACCCTAGAAATTAGGGTTTCATTTTCCATCTTCTACTAGTCGTGTTGGGGTCCTCCAACTCATCGAGTAGACCCCTTAAATTCACACGGCCTGAATTGTTTCTACACGATGAGTTGGGGCATCCAACTCGTCGAGTAGGTCTAAGAACATGACTATAAACTTTAAATTTTATTCATGGGATTCAAGATGTTACAATTATCCCCCACTTGAACTAGACTTCGTCCTCAAAGTCTGTTGCGGTATACAACTCGGGGTAATGCTCCTGCATCTCAACCTCCGACTCCCACGTCCACTTGGATCCCCTCCAGTGCTGCCATTGTGCCTTTACCAAAGGTACTTCCTTGTTCCATAGAACCTTTACCTTCCTCTCAAGAATGGACAATGGCCTCTCTACGTAATTCAGATGCTCATCGACCTGAATATCATCTAACGACACTACTACCTCCTCATCCAGTATGCACTTTCGTAACTATGACAGATGGAAAGTGTTGTGGACCTGACTAAGCTCCTTCAGGA